CATTAAATGTATTAAAATAAAGGTTAGGGTTTTTGGGGTTTTTTTTTTGGATTGTGCTACATTCGCTTTCTTTTGTGTTGTTTTTTTGTGAACAATTTGCCCTTAAGTGTGGCTCCCAAGTGTAAGTCAGACTCGATATTACAATTAAATGCAATTAATTGTATTAAACGCAACAGTTAATTTATCATAACGTTTTCTTAACACCGACGGAAAATAACATGCCGGAACAATAGTTACGGAACAAAAACAAAGTTACACAACACCCACTTGTTGCCTCATGTGTTGCTTTGTTTCCGGTCCCTGCAGGTTGCAAAAGAGAGGCGTGACCACGCGGGGGAAAAATGGCAGAAGAAGAGTTATTACCATGAACAGCACATTAAAACAGCCGTGTGGGATTATTTTGGCTTCTGAAGGAAATGACCAGTGGATGACGACCTGACAGCATATAAAACATGCCATGAAAAATGCGGTGGAAGGAGGAAATACATCCAATATATTTCATCACCTGCAGGACAACCATCCAACTTTGTTCGCCAAAGTAAAGGTAAATACACAATACTTGGATTAAATTATGCCAATGTTTTCTGAACGTAACATTGAATCGGTAGAACATTCAACGTAAGCGTGTCATTTGCAATTAATTGTTTCCGAGTACGAAACGGGTACGGAAACGTGCGTTCACCTAATATTACAGTATACGTCACCTATTTGAACATATCGTGAGGGCAATTACTTTTTTAAAATTGCATTTTAGTTTGTCTTTTTTTTTTTGTCGGACAGTTTCCGGGTCAGTGAGCAGTGACCTGTTCTCAGTGTTCTCAGTCAGTGAACATATAGCATTGGTTCCTTTAGCTTTTTCCAATGAGTAAACGTAGGGTTTTTGCTTCCACTATGGGATATCTGTTTAATTTATTATTATTATTTGTCTATATCAGGTATAAATATTAGGTCATAATTAATTAATAATTTAATAATAATTTGTGTAATTGACTTTAGGGAAAAGTGGAGGTCATGTAGCACTTCATATCTGTTTTCTCTGAGAGAAATACATGATTTTTATTTTATTACAATGGGATTATTGTCGATTTTCTCGTACTTTTTGGTTTCTTGAATTTGTTGCAATGTATTTTTGTTATGTTGTTGTTAAATAAAGGAAACTTTAAGACCTACAAGGAGTGTTCATGTGATTTTACACATTTACAGTGTTGTAAATGTACAGTATCTGAGTTCCAATTTACTGTAGAAAATAGCTGTGCTGCACCATGTGAACAGAACCCCTGACCTAAGTTAGGGACTGGCTGTATGTTAAAGTATGTACATACTGTATATAGATATATATGAGGCTGATGATTTTCATCAAAAGTGAAAGATTAAAGTAGTCTGACATAACTACATTAAACAAATATTTAAGTAAGTTTGAGTGAATCTTTTGTTTTTTGGGGGGTTTGTGAACTGGTTTATGGCGACCTTTAATAATCCATTTGTAGCTGCTGTAAAATGGGTGCTCCACGTCATCCATGAATAATGGTTAAGGAGTGATGGAGGAGGAATGGCTGTTGTGTTGACAGAGAAACCGGACCTTTATTTGACAACGTTCTCCCTGGGGTTCGTAAACGAGGAGGAAAATTAAAAATGGAGGAAAAAAAAAAAACATTCTGGAGAACAATTCATGTTGCTCTTCTGGTTTTACCTCGTAGGATTTAAATTTCCTTATCAGCTGTTTGCAGTTTGCCCATATTTTTCCCTATTGTTTCTCACCTCACGTCTCTGAAGACCTGCTCTAATAGACTAAAACCTGCTGTTTGGCAAAGCAGAAGACGCAACACAGAGTTTCTAACAGATGTGACCTGCTTTAACACCTAAGACGAAGGACCTGCCGAACTTAGTCAAGAGTGACACCTGCCATGCTGAAGACAGGACAGAGTCACTGTTTGTTCATTTATTTAACATTTGACTTTGTTTTACAATGTTTGTGTGCTGAAAATGGTATTTGCAATAACTGTAGTAAACACAGATGAACTGCCGAAAAAGCTTCAGAACAGCTTTTGTCCATAATTAACGGTCCTTGTGCGCGGCATACTGTGCATCACTTACTTTTTCAGCTAGTTTTTTTAGCTTTGTTTGTTAACGTATATTAGCTTTTGTCCATAATTAATGGTCCTAGTTTTTTAGCTTTGTTTGTTAACGTATATTTATCTTCTGGATAACTTTTTGCTAATCTGAATGGTTGCTATTGCCATTTCTTAGCTAACTTTTTAGCATGGTAAAATAGTTTGCAAACTTACAGGTGTTTCAGTTGTATTTTTTTTTCATTACATTGTAAATGCATATTTACTTTCTTTCTTTAAAGTTATTTTAGTTATGTTTAAGTTTCCACAGCAACATGGAAATACAACTATGTTTAGCATGTAATAGATCACACAATAAAATAAAAAAGTTGAACCAATTAATTATTTTTGTGAAGTTGACTTAGTTTGGCCAATGTCATCGTGTTTTTTGAAACTGTCGGGTATTTCTAGCACCATTACCATTTACCTTTCACCTGCCTGTTGCTTTGGAATTTCTTTAAAACCTACCCTTTAAAATACACCTATATTGATTGGTCCCTTGCCTAGAAAGACACCAGCAATGGCATACCAATATATTAGGTGCATTTTTTGTGGTCAAATAAGTTGAAAATAAATTGTATAGTATTATTTTGTGTACAGCTAAATGCCACTTTACGACCGACATAATTCCTGGTCTCAGTTCTTAACTGGTTTGCTAGAAAAAGAGACCGCGTATGGTAAGGCAGGCGCGAGGAGCGCAGTCCAAAAACAGTCATAAAAAAGGTATAGCCAACACTTGGCAATTAAACCCACAGTTAATCTAACAACTAGAACACAACAAACTCATAAATAATCAATAGCAACAATAAATTATACCAGAGAAAACCTCATTGTTACTAAACATTGGGCAAAAAAACCAAGTTAAGTCACGTAATAGCCAAAAGTTAGCAAATAAAAACTAAGAATTAGCCCGTAGACAGCTGCACTTAAATACATTTCTGTATAAACGGCAGGAAATTTGTAGTTTAGGTGGAGGGCATAGGGGGAAGGAGGAGTAAAAATGTGAAGGAGGTGTACAGTTGCCTGTGTGTCCTCAGCTCTCAGCTCCGTCTCTGAGGGCAGGTTCCTGCTCTGAGTCCTGATGTAACATCTCTGATGTTCAGCAAAGCGGATCCCAGTCAATCCCTTTGAAGAAACAGAAAAAAAAACTGTATGTTTCATTTATTGCTGTTCACTGAAGTGAATTTCTAGCAGCACCGAGGACCTTTCTAACACTCCGATTTTTTTTTTTTTTTTTTACAAAAAATCAAAATCAAAGCTTTTCCAAAAGTATGAAGTAAAAATCTAATGACTGAGGTGGGGGGTTTTGATCTTTTCACATTTTCTTTAGCAGAACATTTCATTTTGATGACCATTTTTTGATCTTTTCACATTTTTTTTCCTTAGCAGAACATTTCATTTTGATGACCACAGTTTGTGGTGTTGAGGTTCCTGGTCTGGTCCGGGAGAGCTGGGTTTAAATGGCTGGGACGTTTGATGACTGGGTTCAGCCCCTCCTTTCAGGTTCAGGTGTGGTCTGGTCTGGTCTGACAAAGAGGTTAAACTGTCAGAGGTGGTCTCTGATAAAGAGCTCAGGGGTGAGATTATTGGCTCGGATCTCAGTGACAGTGCTGAAGATGAAGTGTTTCTCCACACAGAGCCACTTCTCTCTCATCAGTGTACGATCCAGTCTCTGGTTCCTGTCACCGTGTTCGTCTGTGCGCTCGAGTGTGAAGTCTCTCTTCATCTCTTCATCCTTCAACACACGGGCCGTCTTCCACGCAGCCTTCGCAAGGTCGCGGCCATTTATTTACTTCATCCCAAGTAAATTTACTTCACGAGGTTGGTCAAAAATATAAAATCATACAAATAAAACATCCCGATGCTGTTTCTTTTTTTTCCCTTCTGTTTTGTTTTATAAATACTCACATGTTTGAAGTCATGAATCTCCAGAACTTCGGTGCTGCCGTTTCCCATTCTGAAAATCTCCACGTGCTTATCTGGATCGATCTCCAGCAGACCCTCGGTCTCAACTCCATCCAGTATGGCTTTGTATGGATGCTCGTACACCTGACAACACACAAACAACAACAACAACAAGAGGCATTTGTTTGCGGCTGTAGGGATTTGGCAAACGAATCTAGAAGGGCTTTAAAAAGCTTTTGTGTCTGCCGATTTTTTAAGTCGGCCACACCGAGATCTACTAACAGCCCTACAGTTACGTCAGCCGTTTGAGTGATTCGATTGGATGGTCAATGAATGGTGCAAACTGCATGCGGACACTGGCACGCGCGAAAGCTACGTTCTCCCTGCGTCAATTGCTGTCGAGCGTACGTTCTCAACCTCAAGGTTATCGAGGATGTAACGACTCATTATACTACGACAAGGAACGCCTAGAAAAGAAATACATGCTTTAAGTAGTAGAAAGAAGACAAAGGATAGAGAATAAACATGACCTCATCCCAAATGTTTACTAAAAATAGCTCCGATTTGCTTAACATGATCACATTGTTACATCATTTTGGTTTCATTGCTCTAAGACTCGTTTCAAGAAGCCGGAAATATTTTTCCTAGAGTTAATGGATATTTTTTTTTATTATTTGCATATCAATTGTATCAATTAAAAGTGAAGCAACCTCTCTGAGCTGTTTGTAACCATTAGAGAATGAATCGAAATATAATATTTATTGTCCCGCAGCTCAGCCCTAAAGAAGAAGGTCTGGCTCTTTGTCTTCTCTGCAGACGTCAGTCTGTCTGTGTTTATGTAGGACAGGTGTTTTTTTTTTTTTTTTTTTTTTTTATACTTTTGCCCTAAAGATCACCTTCCTGCTTCTAATTTTGAAACGCGTTTGTGGCTTTGAGTGGAAGTAAAACAACAGCAGACCACAAAACTGAAGCTATAAATGTAAAGATGTTACATTTCCTTAGAGGAACCCAGAAGAACTGAACAATCTTCTCTGTTTCATCACTACTTTTATAACCCGAAGACTGTATTGCCCCCAACTAAAAAAACAAACAAACAAACAAACAAACAAAAAATACTCTTACATCTACTATTCTATTCCTTAAAACAGTGAGGCTTCAAGATAGGAGTTTAATCCGTTCCACAACAGCACTCGTATGTCCATGCGCTCACATCTCGATTGCATTTTCCCCTTTAGAAATAACTATAAGTCAGTGAATTTGTTGCAGCCCCGCATAAATACACTATCAATTAATTCAATTAAAAATTCCCCCCCATCTAAACATGGAAAAACATCAATATAAACAAATATACTGATAATATAAAATAATAATAAGTAAGAAAACTTTTTATATTATTTTTATAAAAATGGGTAAAAAAAACCCCAGCAAGGGTTAGTGAGCGTAGAAAAATGGTATCGTAACTCGATGTTTCTTTGTATCACGAAGAAAATCTTGCAAAAGTTGCTTACTCGTAACTTGAAAAACTAAACATATTTAAGGGAGCTTCCATTGGTTCTCAAACATTTTTGGTGATATTCCACTTTGGACAAGTGGGGAGAGAAAAAAAAAAAAAGTGTAGTTGTGCCATCATTGCTTGAACGCTTGAAAAATGTCCTCCTGTTTTTTTCGCGGCCCAACGGTCACATCTCATGCGTCCACTAGTGGACCACATGCGTCCACTCCTCTGAGGTCCGCAAACCTCGGAGTGCTCCTTGACTCCGCCCTCTCACTTAAGTCACCGAATCCGTATTTTTTCCACCTCAGAAACACCGCCTGACTGCGACCTTCACTCACTGACTCATCCATTCATTTCCCTCCCGGTTGGATTACTGCAATGGAGCCCTTTTTTGGTGTTCCCAACAAATCCCTGGACAGGCTCCAGTATGCCCGAAACTCACATCCCCGCTACCCTCATTTAAGTTTCACTTTTCTTACAAAATGTTGCTCCTCACTTACAAGTCCCTCCCTCCCCCAAATTCCTCCCATCCCTGCTCCCCAACCCGGACTTTCTGCTCCACTGACTCGGGTCCTGCTCTCTGTTCCCAACTCCCGTCTCCACTCCTTTGGCAATTGTACTTTCAGCTTTGCCACAACCACCCCGTGGAATTCTTTCCCCCAGATGAACGTAATGCCCTCTCTCTGGACATTTACAGATCCTTTGTCGAAAACTCATCTGTTCAAAATAGCTGCTATAATAACGTATAATCCCCCCGTCGCCCCGTCTGTTGTAATTTTGTTTTCCTCCTCATGTTTTATTATTTAGCGACCTTGGATTTTTTGAAGAAAGGAGCTATATAAATCCCAGTTTTTATTATTATTATTAATACTATACATATATATATATATATATCTATATACTAAATCATGTCATCAACAAATATTGTATCTTGCCAGTCTAATCGTATCATATATCTCATATCTTCCAGTGTCTCAGTGTTTAAAAAACGTTTTAGAGTAAAAAAAACCAAAAAAACAAAAAACCCCCAAACCTGTTAATCAGAAAAGACAGATAAATAAAGATAAATAAAGACCCTTTTGCAGCGTCTGTTTTTGTTCTCCCTGCATTGCCTTAAAGCCGTGTTGTTTATCTCACTGTTTGTTGGTGCGCTGTTCACCGACACGCATGAATTACTCTTAAAAAATTCCCCCGTCTGAGAAATGATTCTCGCCCACGGCTGAAAAGATGCTATTAATATTAATGCAGGGTCGTGTTATGATGAGAAATATATTGCCCTGTTGGTCTTCATCTGTCTGGTTGCCAAATCAGAGCTTCAGCCAATGAGATGCATGATTAATGAACACAGTGGGACGGGAGTCCATCAGGATTTACATCACTCATCGCCAACATCTGCAGCCTGTTTCTGACGTTTAAGAAGCCCTTTTTACCAACTGTGTTACAACTGTTTGCATTTTAACAACAAACGCTGGTGACTGTATTGCAACAGTGGTCGGCACAAGTCTTTGGAAAAATTGAAAAAAAAAAAAAAAAAAGTACACCATAGATTGAACTCTCCTGGTGATTTACATCATGGGTAAAAAGAGGAATGCGGCGTTGAAAATGCTCGAGGAGAGGGATGTCCGATAATATCGGCCGACCGATATTAGCTCGATATTAGCATATTATGTAATATCTGTAAGAATCGTTAGTGG